TTGCTTGTTTAATGACCACTAGAAGAAAAAATATATATTTGTAGTTTCCTGCATATTTTTTTAACAATCAATCTGCATATTTTCAAGTTGTAGGCGAAGAGGAGTAAGAGTAGTGTTAAATATAAAAAGAAATCCCAGAAGAGTGAAATCCAAGAAAAATCGAAAATAAGGAAAATATTGCAATTGCTGCCAAGTTTGTCAGGTACCCTTGAAATAACTGAACTGGTGTTTTAACACGCCAGTCACATATGAAAGGTTGAAATGGAGGCAGTCATAGCTGTACAGTGTCTGTCATTTAGCACCAAACTGCTGATAATGTGTTTCTTGCGCTTGCAAATCCTTAGCAACACAAAATAAAAAAGCCCTCTGCATGGCAGTTGCTGGTGGTTTTTTTCACTTCTGGTTGTATTGTTAATACAAGTATCTATAGCAAATTGAAAATGTATGGAAAGAGCAAACCAGATGAACAATTAAATGCGTGAGAGCTGCTCTGACAGTCTGAACATAATGCCTCCTGTCTTATGATGTTGGCTGACAATGCCAGAGGCAGATATTGGTGTTATGACAGTAGAGGTTGTACCTTCCCACCAATATTCCATTACATTTTGTTGCTGTGTGACAGATGGCAGCAGGGGGCAGTCTGACCTGTGGCATCTGATACACAGGTGTGTATGAAGCAAAGGTGCGTCATTGAATTCTGCTGTGTGGAAAAATTGGCACTGACTGACATTCATAAATTCTTGCTGGATGTTTATGGAGACCGAGTAACAGATGAACAGTGAGATGATGGGTGGTGCATTTCAGCAGTGGTGAGAGCAATGCATAGAACAAATCATGTTCTTGATGGTCATTCGCGCCACAAAATGAAGAGTGTCTTGATCAGCTCATTGATGTGTATAGATGGTGTGTGATCAGGCAGCTTTGTATGAGCTGAGTGTTGGCTTCTGTTTGTTGAAACAAGGTAGTGACATTGAAATATCACAAGCTCTTTATGCCTGATCCCATGAATACTTACACAGGGACTGAGAAAACACCCTATGCATATCTGTCTGGACCTATTACACCAGTTTCCTGGATCGTGTCACTATCAGTAATGAGACATATTATTACCACTACAAGCCCGAGTCAAAACAGCAGTCCATGGAGTGGGACATTTGAATTCCCCATTGAAGAGAAAGTTCAAGATAGCCCTTGGCAGGTAAAGCACTGTCTTTTGGGATAGGAAAGTGGTGATTCTTTTGGATTTCCTGGTAGCTGAACAAACTGTCAACTTTGACTGCATCACAGTGCTGGCTAAGCTGAAGACTCGAACTTCCAGAGTCAGGCCAGAGAAAAAAAGACAACCCTTGTTACAACACAGTAATGCCAGGCTGTGTTCCAGTTTGAAGACCATGGAGCAGATTGCCAGTCTTGGCTGGACTGTCCTACCTCACCCACTGTACAGTCCAGGATTTGACTCCTTCAGTATTCTGTATGTGCTGATGAAAGACAGATTGCATGGGCAGCGTTCTCCTAATAACAACACTGTCATTGCAGCTGTGAAACAGTGGGTCACTTCCCCTGGTGCAGATTTTTATGAGTGTGACATACTGGCTCTTGTTGATTGCTGGCAAAAATACCGTAGCTAATAGGTGACTGCTGAAAAAGTATTTTATAGCTGAGAATTTGCTCTTTCAAGTAGTGTGTTGTTATGTGTACTGTATCTGTTGTTATTTCCATGGAAATAAATAGGAAGCATTACTTTTAGAGCAACCTATGTAATACACCTGCTACTTCCTGTCTTATGTCTTATTTATTTATCTTGCATTATGCAACGTGAATAAAAATTTGGTATCCTGGATATAATGGCTGCTGTGGGATGTATTGTGTTCACGTCAGTATGTGGGATGGTGCAGGAATGTGCTGGTTATTAATATCAAGGGTAGGATGCACCATGACCAGTCATTGGTCAACATCTCTGCTCCCTGGTGGCAGTGACAGGACCCAAGGGAGTGGTGTGGAGCTGTGTTGGGGGGGGGGTCAGAATGGGGATTGGGAAAAGATTTTTCACCACAAAGTGGTTTGCCACTGAAACAGGCTCCCCAGGGCAACAAGCTGCATGAGTTCAAGAAGTGTTTGGACTATTCTCAGACATAAAGTTTGAATTTTGGGTGGTTCTATATGTAGTCAAGAGTTGGACTCAATGATCCTTGTGATTTCCTTCCAACTGGGGATATTCTGTAATGTGACATTATTGAAGAGGTAGAAGCTGAGTTTACACAGTCAAAAATTGAATCACAGTAAATATTTGTGGCTACCTCCTGTTCTACCTTGCCCCATATGGACAGTGAAAGAGTAGCAAAAGATTCACTGAACTCAGTTTGCATCTGTTCAGAAGATTCATGTTGCTACAGGCAGCACCTGTGTTCACAAGGCGATTAGAATGAAGCCATTAACTTCAGTTTGGATGAGCAGGCTGGGGGAAGCTGGCATGTGGTTGATGGCGATGCATGCAGTGATTGGAGCTCGGTTTCTGGTCCTGTTGGTGGGCTGGAAGGGGACCCTGTGCATTTCTGGTGTGACTCAGTGCTGTCTCTGAGGAAGGGGCCTGTTGGTACTTAGAGGATGGGATTTATTATGTTACAATAATTGCAACTGTTCTGTTTCTGTGTAGGTTTGTACAGTTTTTTTTAGGCTGCAATTAGTGTACTTGCAAGGGGAATTAATCTACTGCTCCCAGAGCTGTGCATGAGTAGATGTTGCCTTAAAGAATGAGCAGTCTTGTCTGTGGTTTCTGTGTGTCACGCAGTTTCAGGTGTCCTTGTGTCCTCATCTTGGATTGGAGCTGTTGACTGCGGTGCAAGTACCGTGTTGTTTCCTTTGCTCCATGTAGGCACCTCTTAACTTTCTTTCTTTACGAATTAAAAGGTGCAGAGTGATTGAATGTCATTCTACTCAAAGTGAGACAGCTAATCTATGAGGTTTTGTTTGTCTGAAGAGAATAGCTTAAGGGTAATCTGTTGTCTAGTCGGTGAGTCACAGAGAGATGAATCCTCTGCCATGTGTACTGCTCCCACATTATGGAGAGGACGGAACCACAGAGGCGTGGAGGGGTGGGGGCGCACACCTTCTGTTAGTTGGGGGTGGGGGGAGGTGTCAGTGGCTCTGATGTGCCTGGGAGGTGAAGGTCAGCATCCCTGCAAAAGGTAGATGGTAGGAGACATTAAGGTTTGGGAGCCTGACTTTCTCATTGTAGCACCTGCCGGTGCGTATGTAACTGATGCTGTTGCCAAAGTTCAAAGCTGTTAGGGATGTTTAGTTAGTTTTCTGCATAACAAATATGACAGTGCAGTGGTGCAGAGAAAAATGTGAAGTACATGTTTTTTGTGTATTTTAAATTTTAAGATCTACTGGACAAGTTGTGCTGCAAGAATTTGTCGTTGTTTTCTTTTAGCTTAAAATAAGGCAAATAAGTGAGCAGTACACCAACAAAATGTGAACGGAGCTTAAGTCAGTTCAGATGCATTTAATTTTATTATTTAAACTGAAAAGCAAAAAAAAAACCCTTAATTTGTCTCAGTCCTCTACTTAGCTCTTCTGTATAGAGGGACCACAATGCGGATTTCTTGAGACATGAAAAATAACTTAGAATCCTGCACCCTGCTGAATGTTCTTGTTACTGCGTTTTAGCAGAGAGTGTTTTGCTTACCAATGAAAATTACACGAGCTATGTATTTACGCTTTGCACATCTGGAGAATTACTGAAATGAAGGTCGAATGTATCGAGCCATTCAGGGCAGATGGACTGTGCAAATGGTTAAACGATGCAAGGAGAAGTTCCCCATCCCAGCTCTTGGCCTGGGGAGCCTCCAGCGCTGGCGTAGGGAAATATCAGAGGTGGGATTTTCATTATCCTGGAAGCACAAAGGCAAAGATACGCTCGCGTATCAAAGAGCTGGGCAAGTTGCAGCGATATTTATGAGCACTGGCAGCAGATGCGTTCTCTTATGCCCCGGTTTATTTTTAGATAGAAAAGTGTTAAGCTAAGCCTGTTAGATGTTTGTCTTAAAGCTGATAAGTGTTTTGGTTTTTTTTCCTCTTTTCTTTGTCCTCATTTTAGCGTGTGGTTGTACTTCCTTAGCAGGTTGAGCAGATGTACATTGCAGATGTACGCTGCTGCTACAGCTTTGCTTTTTATTTTTGCAGGTCTTTTACCTGACTCTTTTTGTTAGTGAAAATGGGTCTGTCTGAGGGAACTCAGTCTCAACTAGCGTAAGATAACTTTTAGAAAGCTTGCATAAAGAACATAGCCTCTCTCAAGAGCGATATAAAAGCACTAGAGCTGCCTGAAAACACTTTATGACTAAAAAGCATTCGATATATAGCACGATATTTCTTGCTTATAATTTGCTATGTTTCACAAGAGAGTTTTTTTGGTATAATTTTGTATGAGCATGCATGAAATACTTTGCCATCCTTTTTTGTAAGAAGTAGTAAGAAGCAGATTTCTAAGAAGTTACCCTAATAAGGAGAATTCACAACGACTTGTCAGTTTGGCCTGTTAATTTCTGTTTATAGATAATTGCTTTTTGCCTGTTCTGGTCAATGCTGCGACAGAGAGCTTCTGATTATTTACATAGTTATGATATCTTAACTTTGTGAAAGCAGTTTAGAGAAAAAGTAATTTGCAGAAAGTGTAATAAAAAGTCAGGAGTGAGATGCTGGAGACATTTTTAAAAATAATTTTAAGATAAATGAAAGACTTGCTTTGCATACAACTAATATAAATGAAATCTTTTTTTATTATTTGTGGATATTCAGCAAGGAAATTTGTCTGTTCTGATTAAAAAGCGCCTCTGCTTTTGTGGGAAAAACAGTTGGAAGGAGGCATAGTCTAGCTAGGAAGCTACAAAGAAAATACACCAGTATGTTGTCAGAGATCGTAAAATTGGGCTAATGTTTCACTGAAAAACTATGACTAAACATTTTGGTTTTAAATTAACAACTTCTTCTTTTTTCAGGAAATTTGGAGAGCGACCTCAACCGAAACGGCTCACCAGGTAAGCATTAAAGCAGTTCATTTTTTGATTTTGATTGAGTATTCTCAAGTTACCTTCTCTATCTCCCAAAGGATTTCCAAGTTTAAAAAAAAAAAGAAAGTGAATTGTTTATCCTACAGTTTAAAATGTGAAAGCTTCTGAGAAAAAAATGTAATCGTTGTATGCAGTCAGCAGCCAGAATTAAAAATTTGAAGAGTCAGTAGTTTAATATGATAATCAAAATGCCTTTTTTTTTTTAAATTGTGTTGAATTCACGTATCAGTTATTGTACATCATTCTGTTGGATGTGAATCTGCTTAGTTTAAAATAACCAGGAATGAGCTGGATATCTTTTACTGGGTAAAAGTAATTTGTGAGGCCGTACAAAATGGATTCTTTACTGCCAAAATTCAGCTATTATCTCAGTGCTGTCATGCTCCAGGTATGGGCAAAATTAACTCAGTGCTGTCAAGGAGTGGTCTTAACCAGTTTCTGGAAAAGCCTAAACAGAGATAAGTTGAATATAGTACCATCATCAGATCAAAGAGGCTGTGGAATAGTGTGCCTCAACCGCTCCTCGGCTGTTTGAGGAGCATTTGTACTACATGCTGCCAAAATTTATCAAACTGTAATAGTACAGTCTGCGCTAACATCTACTGTTCTGTGCCACAAACTGCCCATCAAAAGCAGCTACTGTGTTTCAAATCCTCTGCAGTGTGTAACATTCACAGTTTTTTTGTTTGGTGTGATAGTATTGCTGTATAAGAACGTGGAAGCTGATTGTGTGTCTGGCCTACATCTTACTGAATGAAATCACAGAACCGCAGAGTCATTTGAGTTGGAAGGGACCCTTGAAAGTCTTCTGGCCCAAGTCCTTGCAACAAACAGGGACACCTACAGGTCTAAAACCTGGTCTTCAGGTTGCTCAGAGCCCCATCCAGCCTGATCTTGAATGTCTCTGGTGATGGAGCATCTGCCACTGCTCTCAGCAACCTGTACCAGTGCTACGTTACCCTCATTCTAAAAAGCTTTTTCCTTTTATCAATTCTAAATCTCCTCTCTCTTAGTTTGAAACCATTTCTCTTTGTCCAATCAAATTATGATGTTTATGTAAAGTGTGGCAGGAAAACATAGGCATTTGTGTTGGGAATATTTCTTGTTGCCTTTCTGAATAAGCTTCAGGCTAGCTTGTGTGATTATTAAACTTGATTTCAATACAAAACAGTTCTGTACTGACTTAAAAGCGATTGACCTAACTATTTTCAGGGATATTTAAACATACTGGTATCAGTCATAAATCAATTTTTATTTTGAGCATTAACAGCTGTTGGTGTCACCCTGAAGTTAATGATTAAATTTACCTTCTGTGATTTAACAAGAATGATAAAATCGACTATCTAGTCATGTCATTTAACTTACATTGTCATGAGTTTGATTAGTTAGTGTAGGAACTCTTTTATGTGCAGGATCTTAGCTATTTGATATGCCAGGTAGATTTTCCTACTCTCAAAGGATATGCATCTAGGAGCTACTTGCCATCCTTGAAAGCAGTAACATATAAACTTTGTACTGATAAAGAAGAGCTAGAAGCAAAAGCAGCCTAAGTTTTTTTTCTCTTGAAAAGAAAAATGCTAAAAATAGAAGGAGTCACCCATTTTTAAGAGTGCAATTTTTCTGTAATGCTTTAAAAAAAAAAAAAAAAAAAAAAAAAGGTTTAAACCCTTGAAGGCATTTAGTTCAATTATTGTGAAATTAGTTTGCTTTTTTGTTTAGGCAGTCCTGTCAACCTTATAATGTATTCAGCCTCGTGCTAACTCTCCAGTGTAACATGGGACGTATTTTTTCAGGCATGTACTTCTTAGAAAGTGCTGAAACTTTCTTTTTCATTTTGTTGTACAAGTTCCTTGACAATAAAAATACTATTTCCGTTCATACTGAGCAAGTTGTTTTTGCGATAAGATGTAAATTGCAAGAGTAGAACCTTTCTGGAGAGGTTTGTCATTTAATAACAAAAGAAACCTTGTGAGAATTGTGATATTTTTCTTTTATCAGTGGGAGGAGTTGGAGGGGAACGTTCCTGGTTCTCTTAGGAGCTCAGATTGTACAGATATGTTGTAGCAACACATTAATAGAAGAGGCAGTATTTGTTCCTAGCGCAGTGCTAAAGAAACATTAGGTAGCACCTAGCATTTTAGTGAGTGGACTGCAGGCTTTGAGCTGCTGTTTAATGGTAGTCAAGCCAAAGGTTTTTAATATGACAGTTGTTATTTAGTGTGACTGTGTTATTCATAGAAAATTTCAAATTCTTAGATGAAAAGTTGCTAACTTACTTAAATGCAGCTAATATGTTAAATAAGAATAACTTCACAATGAAATACATTTCATGCCTTAAAACATTTGTATACAGTGGTTGTAAATAGTGTGTCTATATAGTTTAAGGCAGTTCTTGTAATTTATGGATGAACATCAGTTTTACCAATGTTAAGTGTAAATAGGTCAAGTTAATCCAACTTTGAGATCTTTGCTCCTGTATTCCCCTGCTCGCAAAGAATCTAGTGCACTGATCCAGATCTTAGGCAGACGTGGCCAATGCAAGAGTTTACAGAACATCATTAGCAAAGCTGGGCTGTCATTTCTTCCTTTGTCCCCCTCATAGAATCATAGAATCACCAAGGTTGGAAAAGACCTACAAGATCATCCACTCCAGCCATCCACTGATTACCAATAGTGCTCACTAACCCTTGTCCCTAAGCACAACACCTGAACATTCCTTGAACACCTCCAGGGTCAGTGACTCCACCACTTCCCTGGGCAGCCCATTCCGGTGCCTGACCGCTCTTTTGGGAAAGTAGTATTTCTTCATGTCCAGCCTGAATCTCCCCTGTTGCAGCATGAGGCCATTCCCTCTAGTTCTATCACTGTTTACGTGAGAGAAGAGGCCTACCCTCAGCCCACTACAACCTCCAGGTAGTTGTAGAGATTGATAAGGTCTCCCCTGAGCTTCCTCTTGTTCAGGCTGAACAATCACAGCTTCCTCAGTCCCCTTAATGCCTCTGCTCCAGACCCCTTACCAGCTTAATTGCCCTTCTCTGGACATGCTCCAGAGCATCAATGTCTTTTTTGCAGTGAGGCTCCCAAAATTGAGCACATCTACTTGTTTTCCTCTGTGAAACTGTAGGGGGTTTCTTCTGGAAAAAAATTTTGTTTTTATCTACTGGGATTTTTCGCTGGAAAAGTTCTACAAAGACTCCAAAACATTGGTTTATTGTGGTGTTTCTGACCTCTCTAAAGGGAATTCAACAGTTGGGTGCAGCTTGCAAAAAAAAAAAAAATTCCTCTTCTGTAAGGTTTGATCTGTTTATGACTTCCTGTTAAATTCAGAGTTTGTTTCTATGGTTGGTAACTTTGAAGATGAGCGTGCTGATGGGCATTCAACCTGCAAAAGGCTCCTCCAGGGACTTAAAAATAATCTGTCAGCGCTTTTACACAGCTAAACCCCAGGGTGTTGAATTTGGCGGGGTACTTTGTGAACAGTTAGATTGATATATGGAAGAATGATGGGGCGTATTGTTCTCTTATTTCTCTCAAGGAATGTCTTTTGGTGTGTCTGATGTAATTATAGCTTTTATATGACTTCTGTCATCATACAATGATGATGAATGATAGAAAAATCTCTTTTTTTTACTTGATTGTATGCAAGAAATCAAAACCTTTCTCTAGAAATCTAGATAAAAAAATGAAGAATTTAAACTTCTACTTCATAACTGAAAGAAAACTGACACGGGTGACAAAAGCATTAATTCAGTTAATAATGTTTGTAAAAAAAAAAAAAAGGCAAAAAACCCCACAATATTTTCTGTTCAGCCAATATAGAAAGTATGTTCTAACCAAGTATTCATAGCACGGCATTTTATCAAGTCAGACATTGAGAGTGGTGTAGTGAAGGACATTGAAATGATTTTATGTCAGAATTTTTTTTCTGAAAAATGTAGTGGTAAGTATAAATGACCACAAACCACTGCTGTGGTGCTGTCTTGATACATGATAATTGCAGAGTGAAAGGAAGCAACTGTCTTAGGAAAAAAAAACAACCTCACATCTATCTTGAACTTATTAATATACTGACAGTTGTCTTTTTTTTTAAATTCCAGGTGAATTTTTTGTTTTTTGATTTGTCCTAAAGCTGACCTTGAGTTACTGTAATTATAAATAAAACCAAAAGAACTTTCAAAGCTTATTTTGTCTTTTAATTTTTAGGGAAGCAATGCGAAATTACCTTAAGGAGCGAGGCGATCAAACAGTACTAATACTCCATGCAAAAGTTGCTCAGAAATCATATGGAAACGAAAAAAGGTAAGTCTCTCTCTGACATCCATCCACAATTCCAAGCTAGGGAAACTGAAATGTGTGGTCTGCTGTCCATTATATAATTCCTCAGGTTGTGCTATAGTCAGAAAAAGATCAAATGAAACGAAAGATGTCCAGATAAATGCTACAGGCTTGCAGCACAGTACATAATTGTGGCATTCAACTTAGCTATGCCTGATTCTGCCTACAGATTCTCTATCTGTGACTGTTTTTTTTCCATTGGACTGAAATGGCTGTAATGGTGCTTTGATGGATCTGGGATGCATTGAAAAGAGCATGGCCAGCAGGTTGAGGGAGGTGATCATCCCCCTCTACTCTGCTCTTGTGAGGCCATGTTTAGAATACTGTGTCCAGTTCTTGGCTCTCCAGTTGAAGAAAAAAAAAAAAAAAAGACAGGGATTTCCTAGAAGGAGTCCAAGAGAGGACTGCAAAGATGATAAAGGTCCTGGAGCATTTCTCATATGTCTCTCATATGAGGGAAGGCTGAGTAACCTGGGTCTTTTCAGTCTGAGGGAAAGACAGGATCTGATCAGTGTTTATAAATACTTAAAGGAAGGGGGGAGGCAAATGGATGAGGCCTGGCTCTTCTTGTTGGTGTATAGCAACAGGACGAGGAGTAATGGCCTAAAACTTGAACATAGGAAATTCCATACAAACAGATGGAAGAACTTCTTTATGGTAAGGGTGATGGAACATTGGAACAGTGGTTGCCCAGTGAGGTTGTGGAGTCTCCTTCTATGGAGATATTCAAGACCCATCTGGATGCCTACCTTTGTGACTTATTGTAGGGTACCTACCTTAGCATTGGGATTGGACTTGGTCTCTTGAGGTCCTTTCCACCCTCTGCAATTCTTTGATTCTGTGATGTGATTTTCAAGGAGGTTCTTACTTATTTTGTTGTTTTCTGAAAGAGATAACTGAAAACCTAAGCTGGGTCCTTTCTTTACGTCCCATCTCAGTAGTAGAACTGTACACCATACAGCTGCTTGTCTAGTCTTTCACTGGTTGGATTTTGTAATTATAGGCATCATCTTGAAGAGCAGAAAGAACCTGTTGTGATGATTGAAGGCATAATTGAACTTTTTTTTTTTTTTTTTGCAGACTAGCTTGATGATGATCTCAGTTTATTGTCTAACTTTAAATCAAATATTGGAGGGAAGAGAAATACAAACTGAAGGAAGCCTAAATGATTTCTCCATTCCTCATCGTTTTATAGTAAAAAAATATAACTCCTAACATGTATATTTTTAAAATTTCCATTTTTAAGTCTGGAGTAGATATGATGAGTGTTGGTGGCTATTTGTGGATGATTTTTTTCCCCAAGTAATTTCAAAGTGATTTGAGTTTTGTTATGTTACAATTTGCATAATAGGTAAATAACAGAATCTGCAGGAAGGCATGAGAATGAATGAATGAAAAAGATATGCATAGTTAATACTCACTGTGTATAATTTCAGCATGTTACTCACCTAAAATGAGATGTGTGCCAGATGATGATAAAACAAATTTCCAAGCAGCATGTTTGTAACTTCAGTCTGTTTCTTCTGGGACCAGGGTAGTTCATGAGAGCAGGAACATTTTGCAAACCTGCCCTGTCTTTCATCATTCTAGAGATCAAATTGCATCAAAAGAAGGTATAAAATAAAAAGATAAAGTGCATTTTTAATTTTGGTTATTGAAAGTTTCACTGGAGTTTGGAAATCTTCAAATGTTCTGAAGAACATAGGGCAGAGCCTCAAAATATTTGCTAATATTTAACTATTTGGAAACTCCTATGTAGATTTCATAGTCAATGCTACCTTAAATTCCCATTGCCTTGAATGATGTGCATACCTCATTTGATGCTGCTGTAGTCACTTTGACACATATATTGCCTAAATTTTCAGGTATTGATAACTCTGTAAATTAGTAGTTAGCTTTTCACTGCTTGAAAACTAAAATGAGGCATTTTTACTGCCTCCAATTTCATGAAGCACAATTCAGTTGCCTAAATTTGCACCACTGTGTTTGTTCATAAGAGGTGTCTTAGATTCACTGCTCAGAAAAGGAAGCACATCAATGAAATTTAGAGGGTTTCGGAGCTTTGCAAAATAAGTCAGGAAAGCAGGTGTTTGTTATAGTATAATGATGACCTGATCGCTGTTCTGGTACAGAGATGGAATAGATGTTTGGAATATGTGCTGAGAATTCTTTTTTCGATTTCTGGTACAGTTCTGATAGCTCTTTGACTGTTACCATGAGTATTGGCATCCTGTTACCTGATGCTCAGCATAAACAGGAATGCTAGTTATTGTTTGCATCCTTGTGCGCCCCCAAGGTATGCACTTTGTGCAACTGATTGATCAGCTGCTTTTTTTTTCTTATTGCTTGTTATATTTGTAGCAGAAAGTTCCTTTGGTTTTTCATATTGCTGGACTGAGAAGAACTAGTAAAATTTTAAGGCTGCTTTATTCCACTGATTCATCAGATTTTCACCCTTTTTATGCTAAAAATGGCTTTTCTTTTCTGAAGTGAGTTATTTTGTATTCATCTCTATAGACGAACCTACCCGTCTAACAGGCAGAATTCCAGGTTTTCCAAAGTATGGCATGCATGTAGTCTGGTTAAGTTTTGATCCATAGAGAGTAAGTTATGTTGTGCTCTCTTAGTAAGCAAGCATTAAGTCACAAAAGGCGTTCTTTCTCAAGTAATGTATCCTGTAAGTAAATACGGAGTCTGAAACTACCATTCACCTTCTGTTCCACACTTTAAATTTTGCAGACTGGGAGATGATGAAAAATATTTGTCATATTAAACTTCGCATGGCACAGTTCAAAAGTCCAGCACAATAATGGTTTTCCTGTGTTTTTATGGATATAAAGTGAGTTACTCTGAAAACTCTCTGTAACCTGTACAGATCTAGCACAGTATGGTGTAGTTTAAACTTAAGTGAAGATTTCCTGTTAGATTGAGAATGCTCCTGATACTTGTCCCTAATTAATGGTGTGCTAGTGAAGGGATGGTTCTTCTTTGAGTGCACCTTGTTAGCCTTGCTCTTTCCTAAGTTAATGTAGTTTAGTTGAATTAAGAAATTCGGTGGTAAGAAGCCCAGTGCTGGCCTTGAGCTGAACTCAAGAATTTTTGTCTGATACTTCCTGCTGGGTGGCTGTCATTTTTCAGAGGCATTGAACTGATAGAGGCGCTCAGGTCACCTTTAGACCTAATGAGTGTAGGTGTTTGACGTGTGCTTGTGTTCTCCCACTCATGTGTGCTTGCTGTTGGCTGAGATTTCTCTCTCAGCGGTTATCCTGCTAGTATAAGGGTCACAGTTTGAACAGCACGAACATTCAACAGTTTGAAGGACTGAAGTGTTTTGGATTCCAAGATGTAGTTTGTCAAAGGTTGTGAGCCACATTGGTACTTGTTGTATGCTACTCAGCGTTAAAAAAAATGCTTACTGCTGATTAGCCTTGAGAATGTTCTAGCTGCGTCTTGCTGTTAGTGAAGGAGCTTCTGCAATTTCTGCTCAAATATTTTCCTCCCTGCACTGTGTTGTTGAGAGCATAGTCTTTTCTAGTGCTTACCCTGTGGCTCCACTGCCTTATCCTTAGCATTCTAGCACCTAGTTATGTTTCATATGTTTCTTTTTTTTTAATGGATATTGTCAGTTCGTTCTGCTTTCCTAAGAAAGAAAGACGACTGAGTGTTATCATGCTCAAAATAATTTTGGTAATTGACAAACAAATTCTGCCTTGACTGACTCCAAACTGACTGACTGGTACAAAGAACTATCTTCCCTGCTGTTGTCACCCGTGAAGTTAAAAGAGACAAGGGGGTAGGTACAGTTTTCTGAAAGATAACCTCAAGAATATCTTATCATAGAATGGCTTGGGTTGGAAGGGATCATCACGTTTTCAAGCCCCTTGCTGCGGGCAGGATTGCCAACCACTAGATCAAGTACTAGATCAGCTTGCCCCTGTCAAAACTGGCTTTGAATACCTCCAGGGATGGGGTTTAAAACCATTCCCCCTTTCCCTGTCCCTGCCTACCCTTGTATCAAATGTATTTCCTTCCTGTTTATAATTTCATTGTAAATCTTGAAAGTCCACAATGAGGTATCCCCACTGCCTTCTCTTCTCCAGGCTGAGCAAGTCCAGCTCCTTTAGCATGTCTTTATATGAGAGGTGCTCCAGCCCTCTGGTCATCTTCATGGCCTTCCTCTGGACCCTTTGCAGGGTCTTGGATATGTTGAAAAAGCTAACCTTTGTGAGCAGAATCCTGTGGTTTGAAAGTAGAACTGTCTATATCGGAAGTAGCTGGGAAAGGCATGAGCTGATTTTAGTTTGCTTGCTATCCTTTACAGCCTTGGTAAGTTCAATAAGGGTAGCTTCTCTACTAATATTTTCTCTTTATTTATTGGCTTTATTTGACTGAAGGGGCTGGGAGAATGTTTTTCTCTCCTTGGTGATTGTCTAATTAAAAACAATATTCCAGGTGATGCCAAAGACTCAAATCTATTCCACTTTTGCTTGTTACAGTTAGGGCTCGGAAACTGTTAGAGATTGTTTTGTTTTTCCCTTGAAGTCATTTGGAATAAAAGAGAGCATCCTTAGATACCTCAGCTTGGTGTTCTTGCCATGGAAAAACATTCACTTTCCGGTCTGATGGACCAGATCTGTCAGGAAAAAAAGGAGTACCAGCTTGCTTTTGTTTACTGAGTTTCTAAGCTTAGGCTTAATGTGAGGTTGGTAATGCTGTGGCCTTTTCTAGGTTAAGTTATCTATGAAATTAGGCCCTTGAAAGAGAGCACTCTGTGGAAGCCCTTTCCTCCTTGGAGGTAGATCCCCTGATCCTTCCTGACTAACGTCAGTCACAACATCAGCCTAGTTGATAACAACATCAACTACCCATTGATGACAACATCAACTACTTGTCATTTTATTACATCAGTTACAAATCATTGGAAGTTGTGTAAGGAAAGCATTGTACATAAGGTAAACTAGGAGTTCACAAGAGCACTGAGTACATGTTGTCATTAAATATATGAAGTATTTTTAGAGACCCGGTATCCAAAAGTGTTTTCCTGGCTCAGTCTGTCAACCATTGTGTTTTAAATCAGCAAATAGGAGATAATGAATCAGCTCTTGTCCAGAAACACCAACAGACACAGAGCGGGTTTTGTCTATGGTATTCCTGGTTGCTATACTTGATTAATGGAGGAGCTTACCGAGTTCATCCCTAATAGATATTTGTGGTTTTCAAATCAAGTTGTTAGATGTTTACCTTATGGACAAATGTACTTTTTTGCTTTACTGCTGATTAAGTAGTTATCAGTCCACTTGTAGCACAGAGAAAAGTTAGAAGATGTTGTAAATCCTGATAGGCAGTTGCATCCTTCATGATTTTCCACCCTTACTTCTTGTCCTAAAAATTCTGACCAAACTCAGAGCAACCAGAGGCAGCTGCCTTTCCCCTTAGCACCTATCATTTTCTTCGTACTGTAGGTCAGATTAATACTTCAGAAGAATTTTTGCCTCCCACTCAGTCTTATTTTAGTTTGTGGTTAAAGAAAAAAGAGGTAGGCTCTGTAAATCAAAATTTGAAGGAGGAATAGTTTCATTTGTTCCACCAAACATTGTCCTACCATTTTTCCCATCACCATTACTGGAAATTACCTACATGGGCTGTTTTGGGGAGGTGATTTTTTTTTTAATTTATTTTTTAAACCTCTTCATGGGTATCTGAAAGCCAACTTGTGAATGTTTATAATCCTGTTTACGTGGAAAATGTTTTATTAATGAGAAACTTTCTCTAATAGTTATTTTAAATGTACCTAAGTCACATTATTTAATACCCTTTAATACACAATTCAAACTTGGAAACCTGTTGAAAAGGAAGTTTATAATTAATCTTTTCTATACATGAGTGCTTGTGGTTATAAATACAAAGTGATGGAGAAGGAAAGTTGTTCAGACTGTGATAACTCGCTCTTTTCTTGTTTTGTAGGTTTAGCCTGTCATGAAATGGTCTAAGTGAGAGTTTCTTTCTTTGTTTGGTAATCTTTGTTTGGAGTCTTCCAGTGTTTTTCTCTGTTTTAGTTTATAAAGATGAAAAACTTGTTTCTTATGGGTCTTTACTGCCACCTCGTGGCTGTAGGTACGTAGAGGTCTTGATTTAGAATAAAGTCGAAAATTGGTAAGATAAGAAGTTTGGGATTTTTTTGTCTTCTAACCAGTAATATAAATACAAGATTTTATCTCGAACTGCTGCACCTCTTACTTCCAGGTTCTCAAAGAAAAAAGTAAGCCTCCTACACATGACACAATGAGTATAATAATATAGCCATAATCACTCTGCTAGCTTTTTGGGTTTTTTTTCCCCGTTTTCCTACAACAACCCAGAATTTTCAGCCATCAGTAGCTGATCTTCAAAAAAGGGTTTTTAGCAATAACTATGGTATTTGCATCTAGGTATGGGCTGAAAAAAGTGATATGAATTATGTTGTTTCTGTAAACACCTTACACTTGGGTACTTTATTGTTACTTTAGCCATTGTCATTGTGTACTTTCCCTTGCAAATGTAAATTCTCTTAAGATTGTCTTTCCTATTTGGTAGATGAGCATTTGAGAGAAATTAGGTGACATAGTCTGTTTTGATCTAATTTATGAAATGAGTGCAGGTGAAAAGCAGGGAATGCATTACTGGTCTGGTGATCGAAATTTTGTAGTAGGAAGAGAAATACTTGGGTAAGTGTGTGAGAGATTTCCATAAGGATGTTAAATATGTCCTGCAGAGACAGTCAGCATTGTCGTTAAGAAACCAGGAACAGATGTCAGGTAGCAAAAAATGAGAAAAAGACATGTAATAAGCTAAGGAAGTGGTGTACGTTTTATGCTGTTTCATAAGAAACAGTTATTACTATTTACTGTTTCTGTTTGAGGTTGTTTTCAACTTCTGTGCTTACAGCAGTAAAGTAATGCATTCTGGTGTCAGATAACTATAAACTCCAGCATTTTACTTCATGACTGCTTTACTGAAATTGTCTTGTGTGACTGCTGGAGAAGTGTTACATTTTATTTTTGAGCTAGTTTGTTGTGTAGGTTTTCAGGTTCCTGAGTCGTCAGGAAACATCTGTTTTGCAAATTGGCAAGTTGCTACCTGTTGTGTTGGTTCTGTGTTCTGCATGTTCAATTGGAAGGAAAAAAAATCCCAGAGCCTTCATCTGGCTCATAGTTACCTCCAGAGAATCAAATGCAAATAGTTAACACTGATGCAATAAGCACATGAAAAAATATTGTTTGGTGAACTTTGAGTAGCTCAATTCTACAAACAGATTTCCATTAACTCATAATTCCATAGTTAATTTTATATTCCATTTATATCCTTGACAACAGTGTGAAGGCAATAAAAGGAACAAATAATTGTTATGGTACATCTCTGGTGAAATGGATTATTGTAATGGAGGAAATACAGCATTTGGTTCCGAATTAAGTTTGAAAAGCAGTCTGTGTGAGCAGTTCCACTAATGAAATTAATGGGTTTTTCAAACATGCAGATTTTTTTGACCTCATATAGAGGTCTACTTTCTACAAATTCCATTTTGCAGGCAATCTTTTTTTTCGAACCATGGAGAGTGTTGTGGTTTGAAAGATTTGCTTAGAGATTTAAGCCATGTAGTATGTTATATATAATCATTTTGGATGTGTTTTAGAAAGAGTGAGAAGTTGAAATGCCAAATAAATTAGCAGTGAAAATTTTTCGAGATCACTTGGTGTTTGCCTGCAAGTGTGTATTTTTGCTGGTTATCATAACCACTGAAACTTTGAATGGCAGTAGAATCTTTAAAAGCTATTTTTTGTTTTATGAACAAGGAATAAATATTGGCTATGTGCCCTACCTGAAATGATTGTGTCTTTGCATTTACTTCTATGGATTTTTACTGTTTGTGTTTTTATTATGACTGTTAAGTCAGGATTTTGGTTTCCTCTTTTTAGAAATCTGTTACTTAAAAAAGCTTCTTATGTCTTTGAAAGATAATTGTGCTGATGGACTGAAGTGCTGAAGTTTATTAAATTTAATTTTCAAAATAAAGCTGATTTATGCTAATAAAAGCTTATGTAGTGTTTAAAGAATTTATCCATGAATTCAGTTGTTCCAGATCACATTTTGAAAATGTACCTACTTACAGGAATACAGTAGGAAATGTCATTGAATGTCAGAATTGCCAAATTAAGTACTATACTTCAATGTCAAATAAATGGAATAAGAAACTTTTTCAGTTTTGCTTTCATGCCTCTTTAGTTTTTTTATAATTATGGTATGCTAATAATTCTTTCGCTTTTTCAACTTTGGTTTTAACTAAATAATGTTAAAAACACCTCACCTCTAGGTTAAACTAAATCCAAAAGCACTTAAGGCTGTGGAAGCTTCGAGACTGATACATGGCATTAAGATGTTTTTCTTTTGAAGTTTTTGCTTTAAAATAACATCTAGAATGACTGCTGAAGAGTATACCATACCTTACAATTACTGCTCAAGGCACCTGATTTGTTTATAAACAGAAAATAAATTTGTGTTTGAGCAGAATAGACTCCCTCCTTTTCCTTTGCTAATGATAAAAGCCTAAATATTTAAAAATTGCAGTTGCTAGATTTTCATTAAATTACTTGGTGGTAGTGATGTGTCTTAATCATGTTGATTACAAAAGCAGAACATTGTCATCACTTGGAAGACTTCTCTGCTTTCTTTAGGAGAATTTCCTTTTTGTGAGGGTAAAAAATGCTTTTATTTCACAGGGATGGAGTTTGTTTTCTATTTCCTTGAAATGGAAACATGCTCAGTGACAGGGCATCTAATGCTGTTTTTCCTTCCTTTTTCTCTTTTTTCGATTTGTGTTTCAGAAAATCTTTAAGGCTAATGAAAAGCATACAGATAATAAAGTGCAATGAAAATCCAGATTGACTGAGAAAGCTTTGGGTCTATAACAGTTTGAATGCTTGTTTTTATTTTTTCCTTAAAAATTGGATGTAATCTTGCAATATGTTTTTCATTTTCAGGTTCTTTTGTCCCCCTCCGTGTGTGTATCTTATGGGCAGTGGATGGAAGAAAAAAAAAGAGCAAATGGAACGGGATGGTTGCACTGAGCAAGAGTCACAACCCTGCGCCTTCATTGGAATAGGAAACAGTGACCAAGAAATGCAGCAGCTGAACTTGGAAGGAAAGGTAGGAGTGTAATAATGCATTAAGACCTCCACAAAGGATGTTATAACTATGCAATGTCTTTCAGGGCATGCATTGGCTTATTGTAATTTCAGCTATTCTGTAGCAGATACTACATGAGTCATTAAAAAAAAAGCCTAGAAGATATACAAGACGATGGAGTCAGTGGATGTGGCTCATGGAATTACAGCATGGGGCTAACTTTTCATCTGTAGGGTCTCCACTCAGTTCTGTTAGGTTATTTGGTAGGCCTCAGTGGTTAACTGAAGTAAGGTTGTTTGCCAAAACTCCTTGTCTGTCTTACTGGTTTGCACAAATGGATAGTATCAAGGAAGCATCTGAACAACATCTGCTGCTGAAGTAGTCATTAAATTCCTTTGCATAAAAGAACATTTTAAGTGCTGCTTTATATGTATAGTACAGTTTTTGTAGAGTAATATAAATTCCTACCAGATTTTTTTAACATATTTGTGGTGACTTAAACAACTGGAGTAAATCTGGCAGCACGTAAGAGCTCATTTTATCTGGTTGTCTAATTATGCAATATTACCTAGCTGATTACTGCATTTTATTTGCAGCACCATCTCCTTAGAAATGTTTTATGCGTTACTGCATGTGTGTTGTTTTTTCTTTTCTTCCAAATATATAATGGAATCCATCTAAATTCCATATTGTGTTTACTCTTCATGTTGCTGCCGTGGAAGGTCAAGGTCACCAAGCTAGGTCAGCACGGATTAGATTATTTGGATTTGAACAGATTCTTTGAATGGTTCTGAAAACTGACTTGTTATTTCCATGAGCAATTACTAACTGTGGGAGTTGTCACAAAATACATGCCATGTCTGCCTTACAGCTTAGAGCACGTGGTTTCACACAATCCTACTACAGGTTGTATGGCTTAAAGATTTTTTAGTATAACTTCTCAGAAACATGTTTGTTATACCAAGGTGGACACTGCTCTTGTATATGCTTGTTTCTTAAAATGAAAGATAGCTGAAGTTTTTCTGGAGCTCTTTAATCTCTTCTTGTTGCCTAGCTTAAGCATTTAGCTCTTTGTAACTTTCCAGTGACTTCAAAACTCAATCCTCTCCAATGCTTTCAAGGAAAGCTTGGTTTAATGTTTGGTGGTGGTGCTGGTGATGTTTCATTTGTCTTTTTTGGTTGTTTTGTTGTTTGTTTGTTTGTTTTTGCACAAGCAGTTTCTTGTGCATATCTGCTGTACTGACTTTATAGCCATACTTGAATGTAACTTTTAGTGGTGCTCTTACCCTCTCAGATGTGGCTTTGATACAGCTACAGTCTGTAATCACCTGCTTTCCGGTCTTAGTAAGGAGATGAATTACTGAAGTAAGATGCTGTACTTCACAAAGCTAAAAAGTAGTTTATAAATGATTTCCATATGGAAGGATTCCATACATATTAGAGAAAAAAAAAGTCAAGTGTTGTTATTAGTGGGGAAGAGAGGAGAAAGCAATTTTTGATCTGTTTGAGAAACTGGTACACCATTTCCATTCACAATTACATATGGAGCTCCTTGTACTGAGCTAATTTGAAAAAGGGAACAATAATATGTTTTTACCCACAGAATTATTGCACTGCCAAAACGTTATACATATCAGATTCAGACAAGAGAAAGCACTTCATGCTATCAGTAAAAATGTTCTATGGCAATAGTGATGACATCGGTGTGTTCCTCAGTAAACGAATCAAAGTCATCTCCAAGCCTTCTAAAAAGAAGCAGTCGCTGAAAAATGCAGACTGTAAGTATTTTACAGTTCTTTTCTTTCTGTAGCAATTTTTTCTCCATTTTGTTTTTAATCTATTGAGGTGTGACAACAGTATAACATATGAAACTTTCAATTAAAACACAGCAGTATATTTTAAAATGTTCCTATATTGATTATGCTGTCTAGTTTTATACATTCACAATTATTTAGTAAATACAAAAGATCCACCCAAAACCTTTATTCTGAGGAGTAAATCCTTATAAGCAAATTCATAAGGAATGCTCTGTCTCAGCTTTCTAAGCTGTTGAATCCCTTAAGCTGCCTTGATCTGGTGCTTAGGATGTTTTGATCAGTAGTGAAGAGATAACTTTCAGATTGTGGTAGGAATACTTCCATGTTTCCCAGACTGTACCTCTTCATGTCACAGCCACCTTCTTTCTGTCTCATGCCATTTTTGTGTTTTTATTTTTAATATATTTTGCATGGTCACTTTTAAATAATTGGTTAAGAAATCTGTATGATGATATTCCACCCAGGTTGATTTGCTTGCCCTATTTTTTAACTGAAGGTATCTCTGGTGCTATTGGGAGTGTTTTTGCTTTTTCTCCGAAGTTTTTGCCTGCTACCACTGGAGCACCTCAAGAGATGCCGTTATTTTTTTTGTTTTTCTCTCTTCACTAGTGCTTTAAAGGGCTCTTCCACCTGTGTTGGGCTGGAACCCATTCTCCTATGGAATGTGGATCTCGGGGCTGCTAGCTTGCCACATGAATAAAGGCGGTCTGTTGCTGTGCAGTTTACGCCCGTGGGCTCAGAGTATGCACTGTTGACTTTGTATTCAGATAGTTTTGTTGGGCAGCGAATATGAACTAAGCGTTTTCAGTAGTAAATATTAACAGTAGAAGAAACGTGCCTGTATTGCTGACAGTGATAGTAGCTGAATTTTTTTAGGGGCGCAGACAGCCTTTCGCCCTCTTGAGTCATGAGAAAGTTCAGATCTGAGAAAATTTCAAGTTGCATGGTTACAATTTTCTGTATTTGTCTGTTTTCATTTCAATTGGTTGCGATTTGTAAGAATTATTTTTCTTTATACTTCAAATGCAGTGACCACTGAGAGTAGTCTTAAATATTTCTCAAGGGTGAGCTAATGCTTCTGTTCAAATAATCAATTATTTGAAAGCTGTGAAAGGAGAATTTTCAGCTGGCAAGCACTGGCCCATTTGGCCAAGTGGCAGAATTTAGTGAACTAGCATGCCTTTGAAGAACAGCCTCTATATGTTTCCCTCTTATAATTTTGTAACTCTTCTTGGTCTGTCACAAATATAAGTATCAGATAATTCAATCAGTAATTGAGAATTATTTATTGATTTCCAATATTCATCGACTTATTTTATTGTATTTGTGACTTCTTACTTTTCTTTGTAATAATAACAAAGTAATTTTATAATCTGAAGTCTGTATGTATTCCTTGCAGTATGTATTGCATCAGGGACAAAAGTGGCACTATTTAATAGACTTCGATCCCAAACAGTTAGCACCAGATATTTGCACGTAGAAGGCGGTAATTTCCATGCCAGTTCACAACAGTGGGGAGCATTTTACATTCACCTCTGTAAGTAAAAATGAAGGAATATATATTTTTAACTTCCCTCCCTCCACCCGCACAAAAAAAGTCCTTTGTTTTTCTTCCTTATTAATTGCCCAAGCACAGATTTGTTTTGTTACCAAATGTATATTTGATGTAGTAGTGTGGTATTAAGTGTTCCTCGTACTGAGAAAAACATTTATTTAAGCAAGTAAGGTGGAACTTCCTTTTTCATGCAGTGGATGATGATGAATCGGAAGGAGAAGAATTCACGGTGAGAGATGGCTACATTCATTATGGGCAGACTGTCAAACTTGTATGCTCCGTTACTGGCATGGCACTCCCAAGACTGGTAATGTTTAATTCCTCCACTGTTAAAGTTAACTTGTATGTGGCTGCTTAGTGTTCTTTGTAATTGGATTTTCACTCTTTACAGTTGTGGCTTTGTACATTTAGTTTTAGTAATACGCATTTTATATGAAAATGACATTTGTTTCAATGAAAGCATATTTTTATATCTGCAGGTTAATGCTAAAAGAACAGCTTGTAAGTTAAGCGCAAGGAACTTTTCAAGACTCAAACCTACCTAAGTAGGTTAATCTGCAAGCTGTCATTAAAAAAAAGTAGGTCTTTTTAAAAGCAGTGATGTAGGTCCCACTGTAGCAAAATACTTCATTCATTATTCAATATCAATACTTCAAGGCTTTGCGACCAGTAGGACAATTTTGTTTTTTGACTTCAGCCTCGATTTAAAAGTATTCTCCTGATTTGAAGCTAGAAGATAGTTAGCTAAGAAATCTTTGAACACTATGGCTGCTGCTTCTGCTGATGTTTTATAACATGAAATATTAAACTTTTTTTCTAGAAGTTGAGATAAAATTCCAGTATTCCAACATATTTCTACTGCCTGTAAGGGAATAATTTAATTTTTAAAAATAAAATAATATTCTGAACTAAGTCAACATTTTTTTGTGCCAGTAACAATTGTTCTTTTCAGTTGGTTATTTAAATGTTACTTAAAGGTAACTGTTAAGATAACCAGTGATTGTTGTATTTGCAGTATTGTGTTTAAGGCCATCTCAATACATCTAGAGTAGATCCTTATTTCTCAACTGGTTTGGTTCAGCAGCCAGTCTGCCATAGAATGTTAATCGATACTATCAGTGTTGGAAGCATGTGCTTCTGTAGAAGACTACTGATAGTTGACCTACTTTTCTTTCATTGTCAAGAAACAAACCAAAAGTAGATTTTGCTGAATCTCAGACTTCTTTTTTCTTGCTGTTGGAATGAGGAAAAAGGTGAAATACGTACGCATACAGCATTCTGAGGGAGTAGTACTGATTGCAACTGGAATATTGTGTTATTGATGAAAAATTATTAGAAATTATGAATCTGATGTTATTAACACAGGAGGCTTGGAAACTTGAAAATTATGATTGTTCACTTCCTGTACTTAACATTACATGCATAATCTTCAGTGTAATCTTCAATGTAATGAGGTACAGAAATTGTCCTAAATGTGCATACAACTTTCATTCACAGATAATTCGAAAAGTAGATAAGCAAACAGCATTATTGGATGCAGATGATCCAGTATCACAGCTCCATAAATGTGCATTTTACCTTAAAGACACTGAGAGAATGTATTTGTGCCTTTCCCAGGAGAGAATAATCCAATTTCAAGTGAGTTGTTTAACTTATTTTGATAGATGAAAAGCATGGTTGCAGACTTTTCCCAAATATTTACAAATATAGATGAATGCCAGTTTTGTAGTTGGTTTTGAATGAGAAATTTCTTTTGAAAAATCAGCAAATAGAATTCATTATAGCCTTTCATGATGCACTTAGCAGTGTTGAATTGTCTTCCTCTTGGCTAAGTGTAAATAGTAGAGTAAAGCTACAGAAATTTGATTTGTCAATAAATAATGTGCTAATTTGTCTTCAGTAATTTTTCTTCATAGGTGGAGAAAATTATCCCCAGTGAGTTACTTTTATGGGAAACAACCCGAAGAAATAGCTGCCTAAAAAAATAATAGCTTGCATTTTGCTTTGACATCTCTTAATATGCCAGCAGACTGCTTTAGTCTTGTGTGTGTTAGTGTGCTTTTAGCAGACTTCTACTGTGGTAATTCCAGGCAATAGCAGGAGTGGTAATCAGATTTAATCTCAACTGAGAGATCTCTTTAAAAATCCAGGGCTGCTCAAATAGTAAAGGGTATTGAGAGAGAATGCTGTATTCCAAGAAAGGCAACAAAAGATCAGGAGTTTCTTAGAACAGTTCTAGTTTCCAGAGGAATAAAGGTAGAAGCAGGGAAGTGGAAAGCTAGCATTTTTAAGGGAGGGGGCAAGAAAGATTGGTAAAGTCTCAGGTAACTTCTTTCCACTATCACAGTTTAGGATAGAATACAAGAAGCTTTGTTAGTATTTCAGGAAGCATTCATAACCTAAAGGTCAGAAGTGGACAAGGCCTGTCGTTTCTTCCACTAGGAGATAGCAGAGATATCTATCAATGTATTTTCTTGTAAAGCAGAATGGATCTTTGCCAGGAAGAAAAGAGAGCAATGAAACAGGAATTGCAGTGTCTCAGAGTCAGCCTTGCTGTTGTTTGATCTTTTTCTAACTGCTTTGTGGGAAGGCTGAATGAACTAGGAACTCCTGCTACTCTGACAGCTGCTGGAAATGGCTGTGGAACTGCAGGGGCATACTAACACTCTTTAGTATCATGATACTTGTGGAGCCCAGTCTGAAAAGAGATCCAAACTTTCCATGTGGAAGGATGAAAGGACACCCAACTCTTTTTTTATTCTGCTTGTTGAATAAAATCTGTTAACATGCACATCAGACTGTAATCACTTTTTGGTAACTGGAATCATGACAAAATATAAAAAAATATATATAAAATCTTGCTGCCAGTGTCAGGAAATACATCTCATTTTATCTGTTTCTTCCCTTGGACCAGAAGACAAAGACTGGGGAAGAAAGCACATGTGCCATCTTTCACTGAATATTGATTGCTGAATCTAGTTTCTGAAGTAGGTGTCTAGCCAGTCTGTGCTCACTTTGTGGAAGAAGAGCCACTTGTTCATGAGTGAAAAACCACAATTCTTTCATGAGTGAATGAAAACATCCCTGTATAAAGAAATAGAAGACTTAAAGCAGAAGGGGTATATTAAGCCAGCAGTTCAGCATGAACTACTTAAAAAGAGCTGAGATTGTTTACTGGAGTGTACCAGTCAGAGCTCTTTTCGAAGACTCATACGCTGCAGGCTACAGAAAGGATTGTAAATAATGCCATGCTTGATCAGAGCGTAGTCATTGTCTAAGAGCAGCATTAGTAGATGCTGTTTATAGAAACAGACAGACCTGGTCATTTTATGAAGTCATAGATTCATAGAATGTTTTGAATTGGAAGGGACCTTAAAGATCATCTAGTTCCAACCCTTGTTCTGTGTGCTCAGTTGCCACTAAAAGATCAGGTTGCCCAGGGCCCCATTTCTTCCTGACCTTGAACACCTCCAGGGATGGGACATCCACAGTTGCTCTGGCCAGCCTGTGCCATTGCCTTAACCCCATCTGTGGCATTTTCTTTCTACTTCAAATCAGGTGTTTAGCAGAAATGATGGAGCTAGCCAAGGATCTTGTTCACTTCTGATATCTGTGTGTTTGTTTGGTAGGAGTTAAAGCATGTCTGTCCATTCAAGCCAGCGGGAAAATGTCCTTTGTCAAAATAGTATACAACAGTTTCTCTTTTGAAGTTGGGCTAGTAATTTTTACATTTCATATGCTTCTAATAAAAATATTAGTTGGGTATTAAGCAGGGAAAGGTCAGTGGTTACTGTCCTCACTGTGCTATCTGTCTTGCAAGCTATTTTATAGTAGAGGTTTTTAATCTGATCATATCAGAATGAAGAGTCTGCCTGAATTCAGCTTTGGTCCTGACTTCATTTCAACTAGCCAATTTGTGTTAGATTTGTGAAGTTTATCTAATGTTTTTTTGAGAGTAAAGTAATATAACTGATTGGATGGATGGTTGTATATCAAGATGCCCCTAAAACTTTATGTAAGCAAGCAGAATTTAGCTATTAAAAGTTTTCTCGTCTGTTTTTTTTTCTGTCTGTGATTAACCTGTGCACAACTTTCGTATTGCAAAATAATGGAGTTGTTCAGAGTGGGCTTTTGCTGCCATAAAAGAAACAGTACACAAAGATGTAAAACTGATGCTACGTGATTTACAAAGAGATAGCAAAAGTTTCTAGCTTATGTGCAGGGTCTTCATTTTGGCTTCTTCCATGTCTTTGAACAAACATTGGAATATTAGCTTGTTTTTTTTATCTTTTTGTAGATAAAGAACAAGTTCTTGTTCTTAAATAAGTGCTTGGTGCTTGGCCAGGTATAATTCATAACATGAGAAATATTCGGTGCTTTCTGTTGGAGGTTAAAGATGGAGAAACATATGATGAAAGTAATAAATATTGTTACTGACTGAGATGCTTTTTAGCTCTCTGTCTGTCAAACAGTCCTACAGATCAGACTTCAAACTTACTTTCTTTTTAAGGCCACTCCATGCCCAAAAGAACCAAATAAAGAAATGATTAATGATGGAGCTTCTTGGACAATCATTAGCACAGATAAAGCAGAGTACACATTTTATGAGGGGATGGGACCTGTCCATGCTCCAGTGACACCTGTGCCTGTTGTAGAAAGTCTTCAAGTAAGTGATGTATTTGTTTGTTTATTTTCATAAACTCTTTCACATGAGATTATTCTTATCATAGTGATTCAAATGTTATAGTGCTTTTGTGGGCTACTGTAGGAGAAGACTCCTATCAGCTTTATATAAGATAACTACATTGCAATGATTTTGCTCAGCTACATTTCAGAATGTGTATCACATGAATACTATTAATATTGGTCACATGAATAATAATAATATTGCTCTATACATTAAGAATTTTATTTTCTAGAATACTATGGTGGTGATATCTTTAGGACTTTCACTTCCCTTCTGGTTATTTAGAAAAGCATTTTCTCTTGAAAACTCTTGAAAACTCTTGAAACAGCCATTTACTCATCAAACATTATGAGTAAATTGAGAAAAATGAGTAAAATGAGAAAAATTATGAGGCTTGAAACTGTGTTAAGAAAATGTGCTATCTGCTGTTGAATAACTTAAAGCTCTCCTAGTGTTCTCTGGAAGATGTTGTTCTTTGTTTGGTAATATCTTTTTGAGTTTACTTTTTTACAGTTCACTTATGTAGGTCTGTTTATTTTTATGTCATCCAACTGATACCAGTAGCACATTTTACAGTTCATATGTGCACTAAAAAGAATTTTTCTAGGGTATTTTTCTTCTTAATTAAAGTGTTTCTTTTTTGTGGGTTTTCTTCTGTTGTCCTCGTCCCCTCATCCAGTTGAATGGCGGCGGGGATGTAGCAATGTTGGAACTTACAGGACAGAATTTCACTCCAAATTTACGTGTCTGGTTTGGGGATGTGGAAGCTGAAACTATGTACAGGTATGGTGTTTCCTGCTACTTTTATGGGATGTTTTTCACAGTGAATGCTCATTCTTTAAGGTTAAGTTTTGTTTACTAAGTTGACTCTCCTGTTTTTCAGATGTGCAGAGAGCATGCTATGTGTTGTTCCAGATATTTCTGCATTTCGAGAGGGTTGGAGGTGGGTCCGTCAACCAGTCCAAGTTCCAGTAACTTTGGTCCGTAACGATGGCATAATTTACTCCACCAGCCTTACCTTTACATACACACCAGAACCAGGGCCACGACCACACTGCAGTGCTGCTGGAGCAATCCTCAGAGCCAACTCAAGCCTCATGGCTTCCAGTGAAACAAATGCAAACAGCGAGGGAAGTTACACAAATGTCAGCACAAATCCAACCAACGTCACATCATCTACAGCAACTGTAGTTTCCTAACTACCGTTGTTTGTTTGGACTCTAACTGACTTTTAAGTGCTACGTTCAAGAGAACTGAACAATTTTTGTGGTTTCATGGGAAAACACCTTTCCATTTTAGATGATGGTATTTCGAACCTGGTTACCTGCAAGTGCTAATCTTAAATATAGAAGCCACAATAAAAAAAAAAAAAAAAAAAAACGAAACATCCAAAACATAAGAACTTTATTGAAAATCTATTTTTCAGCTGTTTTTTTTTTTAATGGGCAAGAAATAAAAATGTGGCTGGGATACATGTTGAGCAAACTAGAAAACATGAACACAACATAGTTTTTATGGACCAAGGAACTTGTATAAGCTTTAGTATAAAAGGTACATTTTCACCATACCTTTTTTGTATCACAACATATAGTACACTTTTGTTACCAAATAGTTTATATTTTTTGTTCTCTGAGCTTTTGCTCCGAAGTATATTCAGGTTCCAAGCCTGACCATGCTTGTATAATCTAATTACCATACTCTTCCAGTTTTAAAAAAAAGTATATATATTTTTGGTCTGTGGCTGGAACTGTTCCTTTTTTTAAACTGAAGTCTTGTGACTTTTTATGAACTGAAATTGTTTTTATTTCAGCAAGTAGAACCTTGTAAAGGCCAGCATATTTTTTTTAAGATTATATGAAGTCTGTGCAAAAGCTTTAAAAAATGCCTCTGCCTTGCCTGCAATACATGCAATGTATGTTAACTTTAGTGCTCTGTTTTCAGTCATTGTTAATAGTTATTTCTGTTTTCCTTTTTTTAAATATATATTTATAGTGATAATTCATGAGGTTCTAACATTACATGAGTTTTGTTTTTTTAAAGGTGACATCTCAAGCAGTCATGTTAATGATTGTTCATGTCACAGGCATACGTTGGTGTTTTTGAAGGGTTGTTACTGGGTTACTCTCCCTCTTTCTTTCACAGTCATATTGCATCTGAAAATGTTTCAGAATCTGTTCAGGTTTTTCTATTCTTGTACATAATTTGTATTAAGTGTAAGTTAAATGTTTTATTTCAAAAGTGGAATGTTCCCAATAACTTCATTTGGCAGCATGTCTTCTGTCTTGTTGGCATGTAACTAAAATACCATGAGAAGTATATGCTACAAATAGGATTGGTAGGTGATGCCCTTGATGGCTAAGAGTCACAACAAGCATGTTTTTCTTCATAGTGTTTGGTAAATTAGGCCAAACTTAAGTGTAACACTTGTACTGAGAACGTGCTTTCATTGTGAGATGATCATACCATAATAACTAAAGTAAATTTTATTACTTAGGAATGGGCAAATAGAAAATCATAAAAGCACTATGAAGATGTCAACTCCTCCCATCCTTATTTCCTATGGGTTTCTCTTTCCCTGCCAACAGCTTGTGCAACATTCAAGTCTTCTCTCCATCATAAATTTAAGGCTCATTTGCACTTTGACTTTGTTGGTTGTTGTGTTTGTTTTTCATTTTGACTTTGCTGTGTTTTAGCTCTCCTTGCAGACCTGCTTATTTCGTCTGTAATTGAAAATATATCCCACTAGTTCATTCATAGTCACAGAACTAGGCATAGAATCGTAGGACAAGTTCTGATAGCGTGATCTTGAAATGCCAAAATATGAATTTTATGGTGTGTTCAGCCTTTTTTATTCCCTGAAGCATGAGCCACAACTGCTGTGTAAATGTGAACCTGTGGCTTCCTACACTGCGTTGCTTTCAAGCTTACCTGTTGACCATTTTCATAGGGTTTTTATTTCTGACCACTTATTCCAGTTCCAACACCCACCAACATTTTAAAGCGTTTTCACTGCACCATATTTGTGTACTCCGACGCTCCATTTTACCTGTTTGTTTTAGTGCTCAACTGTGAGAACAGTGTGGTTAAAAGAGGAAATTGGTTGTAAAACATATTTACTGATAGTTTAAATCAGTGCCACTGTCCTTCTGAAACGTGCTTGTATCCTACCACAGGCCTTCATATTTGCTCTGCTGTATTATGAAACAGACTCCCATGACATAGTCACAATGCTGGTCCTTAGCACTAGTGGATACTGCCTCACCTCATCTCTGTTTCAGTGACCAAGGGCAGAATTCATTGTGGCCTTATCTCTGTTTTGAACTGTTTACTGGCATTTACTTGCAGATCTGTTTACTTGTGTATATGCTATAAAGCTTCATGTTAGTCTTGTTGTGGCAGGAATCATTTCACAGTGTTTTCGTTTGAAGCACATAAGTATCTTACAGCACTGTTTAATTCAGAAGCCACAGATTTTCATTGCTAATTAGACTGAGAGTTGAAGTGGTGCATATATTGAATTCAGAAGGGTATCCAAGAACAAACCACGATATACACACAATAGGCAAACCATAGTGAGTCTTTTGACCTTCAGAGGATACTTTAAACAGCGTTTCAGAACTTGACACCTGCTTTTGTACTCATTGTTTTAAAATTTCTACATGTAAACGCAATACTTTTTATATTCAGTTTAGTTGCAATAATTTTTCCCAGTAGGTATATTCCTTGACTTGTAAAGAACCTAACGACCTAGCCTTATTTCTGCTGTTCTACACACTACAGCTGTCTGGGTGAAAAACAGATTACTAAGTTGTGCTTACAAGACCATTTAAAACCCCATTTTTCCTTTGGGCTTGTGGCACTGTTTTTGCCAGTAGTTACTTTGTAGTACAGAAATGGTCTTCCAAGTCCTTACTGTTGTTCAGATGTCCTGTTGTTCAGACATATAATCCTCCTGAACTTTTTCCTGTTTGGGGTGTTACTGTTACATTTATTGGCCTTGTGAGCTTTTAACCAATTTTCATGATATTCACAATTTCTCAACGTTTTGATACAACTACTTTTAGAATGTTTCAGTATGAAACAATTATAATTGTTCAAGTCTAGCTGTGAAGTCTGCTGTTAATTCTGTATACATAGAAACTGAGTCTGTGTTCAGAATGTTGTTATAGTTCCAACTGTAGGATGAAAAAGCAAATTAAGTGCTCAGATTTAGCTCTGCCTTTTCTTGTTTTCTTTTGTTTGGAACTGCATTTCAGAATTCAACACTAGCATAGTCTTTAATAACCTGCTGCTGCTGTTTTTCTTTCCTAATTATTTGCCCTGAGGGCATCCCACAATCGTGTTAGTAATTCTATTCTGTACTTCTTTTCATTGCACAGACTTGTGAGATCAGAATGGTTACATGAAAAGACGTGAACTTAAGTTGTAAATCTGTGAATTCCCGTATACAAAATATTAGCGCCAAGTAAAACAAAATATCTATGGGAAGTAAAGTGCCCACTTGTAGATTAAATGACTCCGTAGAGGTGTCCATCCTGAAACTAGATGCTCTTCAATTATTAACCATATTATTTACTTTATTTCAAAAGCAGCTGTGTTTATGAGTACTGAACAAATGTGTGTACTTGCCTGTGCCAGACTTTTGACTTTGTTTTCAAGCACTGTACTGTGGGATTGAGTGGCAGCTTTGTTAGAAGAATTATATTAGGGTTTCTACTTAACCCTTTTAAGACTGAACTATTTCTTTCCTTTAGAGGTTATAAAGGAGCTGTTCTATCTTTGTAAATGTTCTGTGTTCAATGTTGCATTCGCCCCGTATGGAGGTGCTATGCTAATATCATTAAAAAAAATAATAATAATCCTGTAGCATGTATAGACATTCAGTCTTAAAAGGGTTATTTTTACAAACTGTGCACCTGTAAAGTTTCTTAGCAATAAGGTAGAAAAAATGAGCAAGTTTTTACTATAATTTTGTAGAGTTAACTGCTCAGTTCCATATTTCATCAAGAAAAAAAAAAAAAACCCTGCAATATGGGCAGTTTTGAGGATTAAATAAAAGTGAAATGTAAACCACGTAAGTGTTTTTTGTCAAGTGTACTGTGTGTGTATATGTGCATATAATATCAGGCTGCATTTTTTCTACAAGGCTAAAGATGCATTATGCCATGTTACTGTTGATGTGACAAACCTAACTGAACATCTGTACGATGATTCCGTCAAAGTAATTACGATTGGTCACCTGTTGAACCTTTGCCACGTTTTTGTGGGCTTTTTTTTTTTTTTTTTCAATTTTAACTAAAGAGTGTCTTTGTTTCGGGGTTTCTTGTTGCAAATGAACAGTGAGGTCATCTGTGGAACCAGAACGACGTAAAGAAGACCAAGCCCAGGAGTGGAAAAGTCATCAGTAGTTGTGAGGCTGTGCACACTGGACTCCACTTAAACGGGATATGGAATGGCCACCAAAAAAGCTGGCTTCCAAATCTGAGTCTGTTTCGTTATGGCTTGTATAATTGCTGGAGTTAGATAAGAAGCTGTTTTTTTTTTTTTTTTTCTTCCAATAATGTAACAAAAGTTCACTTTTTTATATTATTTATTAAATAAGAAAAAAAACCCGTGTTTAATTGTTTAACTTTAGCAACTTTATTATTACAATTAGCACTGACTCTAGTTATTTTCATCCTTTTCTTATCTACAGACTTTCAGGCATTTCTCTGTTAATAAGACCCATAGAAATTTAGGAGGCTATTTATTCCTTCTTTTTGAGGTACTACTCTGGAAGGGTTAAGAGGAATAACTAGAATTGATACCTTATTTTAGCTTCCAATCACAGTGGAGAGTTTAAAGAAGAGTTTCTAGGACTTATAGAAGGGAAATGGATGCAGCAGCGAAAGAATTTGGAGTGGCAGGAATGTATCACTGCAGAAGAACTACTGGTGTGGTACAAAACTTGCTCGACTGTAAGACTGTGGTGGGCCCTGGAGTGGTTGTTAAGATGTGGAGAGAAGCAAGAAAGGGAGAGTTTTGATGACATAAGCATATTCTTCTGTCTATAAAGAAATATTTCAGATCTATTTTTGAAACTTGTAAATGCAATTCTTGGCTATCAAACAGCCAGAAATTCAGCGCTGGTAGAACTTCTGCTGTTTGAAACAGACGATGTGATCAGGTTATACCTCAGAACTGTTTTGAATACAGTTGAAGTCTGTTTCTGGAGGATAAACTGGCTTTTCTGGAAGAGAAAAGAAATCAGATCTTTTCTGAGGCTTTGGTGAAAAGAACGGTCACTGACTGAGCATTCCTGTTGGCAGAGTTGGAAGGAGTAGGGTTGTGTTCATCTTGTATGAAGAAATACAGATTTAGAAGAGTAGTGTCAGATTGTA